CATAACAAGTACTCAAAAAATAGTATTGCTGAATGAATGAATGAATGAATGAATGAGTTGATGTAAACTTCAGACAAAAGCGTGGACCAGTAGAGCTGTTGTACTTAAGAGTTTTAGGTTGTTAGAGGGGGCTTTTAGGCAGCTCCCAGTGAGAGCTAAAAGGCATCTGAAAACATTTGAGAATTTAATGGTTTATTAATATTTTGTGCAGGTGTAGACACAATCCATGGGCACTCTCTGAAAATGTTGCAGTTCCTCAAGGCTCTGCCTAATTTTCTCAGCAATGTCCTGTATACTCGTGGGTTAATTTATTCTGTCTACACAGAAATGCAAAATGTATGCAACCATTCCAGCCTTCTTAGCACCTAACTGCTTATCTTTTCTGCCTATTTTGATCAGTTATGGGGGTTTTCATCTCAGCCTGACCCAGTCTACACTCATGTTCTTTCCATTGAATTTAGTCCCCCTCTAGCAGTCTCTCTATGGATGACACCATCATGTCCCCAGCTGTTTAAGCCACAGATGTAGGTGTCACCTTTCTCCCGTCCCTTCCACATCCAACTTCTAAATCCTCTGATCTGTCAACTTCTCATGCTCTCTAGAGTCATAAACCCACCTTTTATCTGTTCTTCATATTCTCTATTCTGTGTTATATAACAATAAAGGATCATGTATCATAGATGTTACATAATCTTGAAATCTTTTTCCTCATAAAATTTTAAAATAGCAAAGCATATATTCTGCTTTTGACTTATTATATTAATAATTATAAAAATAATGTTTTAACAACATTTGTAAATTATTATTTATGATAATTATTTGTTATTATACCTCTCTATATTCTGTGTTGTGTTTCAATTAAGATTATTTATCATAAATGTTGCATAATTTTGGAACTTTTTTCTTTATGAAAATTTAGAACAGCAAGCAAACATTTCTCTTTTACAGAAATTCCAAAACTAAATGCCCAAAGAGTATTTTTTTTTTTCTTTAAAAGAGGCAGGGGCTAACTTGACTTAAATAAAATTAAACAGACTTCTTTTTTTTTATAGAGATATAGACAAGAGGAGATTTATTTTTTTATTTATTACAGATACACAGAGAGGGAGAGAGAGAGGCAGAGACACAGGCAGAGGGAGAAGCAGGCTCCATGTAGGAAGCCTGACGTGGGACTCGATCCTGGGTCTCCAGGATCACGTCCTGGGCTGAAGGCGGCACTAAACCACTGAGCCACCCAAGCTGCCTTAAACAGACTTCTTAAAACATTTTGCTTTCTTTATTATTGCTATTACACTAGAATATTTAGAATTGAATATAATCTGATCTCTATTATTCTGCTTTGGATCATTATTTTATAAGAATCTATAACATTTTTTTTTGGCTTGGAGAATATTATGTTCCTTGTACAGTTATCTACTAACAAATTCTTATGATTTGTATTAACTGTCAGTCTATTCTTTATTTATTAACCCAATCAAAAGTCTAATTGTTTTCACAGATGAGATTAATATCTTTCACCATTACTATTAATTGCTACATCATTTTACTAATCACAAGTGTATATTTTTCTATTGATGATTTCGATATATTTAACGCATAAAGAGATTTTTTTTATCAACCCAAATTCTTTATAGATTGCTCATCTACTTATATTTGAAGGAGAGTAGATATCACTGGCAAACCTTCAGGCATGCCTGGCTTATATTACTAATGTTGAGATGCCTAGCAATTATGACGGCAGCTTCCAGGATCACACACTCCTTAATCATATGCAAGTGCAGTAATTCCTCTAATGACAATGCTCTAGGCATTCTTGGCCTATTAGTGGTCCTCCAGAGGCCACGGCTGAAGTGGAATGGGAATTTGAGTTCCAAACTCTCTTGCTCAACATGCTAATAGTAACTCACAGTGATCTCGAGGAAGGTATTATCATTCCATTCCATTCCATTCCAGATGAGAAAACTGAGACTTAAGAATGTGGGATAATGTAGCCAAAGTTGCTGGGCTGATAAGAAAGAGGTGGGGCCAGGACTTAACCGGTTAAAACCTGTTTTCTTATCTGTTATCTTAAGAGATCATTGTCTAGTGAGAGGGGAAAATATAAGATGACAAATAGCAATAGTACAGAGTGGACAATAATGAGAGCCGTGACAGTTCCAAAGCTGTTATCTCTCATCATAGTGAAGTTGGTGACCTCAACTTGCCCTCATTCTTTGTGGGTTCTCCTATCCTTAGCAACTCAGAGCACTGCATGGGCCTGGGCCTGGCAGATTATCGATAGATCTAGTCTATCTATCTATTATCTATCTATCATCTATCATCTACCTATCATCTATCTATCTATCTATCTATCTATCTATCTATCTATCTATCATCTATCACCTATTTGTCTATCAATCAATCTATCATCTATCAACTATTTATCAATCTATTGATCTATCATCTATTTATCTATCATCTACCAATCTATCTGTCATCTATTTATCTGTCAATCTATCATCGATCATTCATCATCTATCACCTGTATCTATCATGTATCATCTATGTATCCACATCACAGTCTCCCTTAATTCAGCGTTTAATCCAGCTGTTCATTTTTATTAAAACCACAGAGAACACACTTATCTGTCAAACTCAAGCATATCTCAGCTTTCTTCTAATCTGCGAATCCTCTGAGGTAAGGACTGAACTAAGCCTGGCCTGGCTGCCTGGGGGGAACGTGTTTGTTGTTTTTAACAGTCTAATGGGGCTATAGAAAGTAGGGCAACCAGCTGAGCAACACTCCTAGAAAATTTGAAGCGAATCCAAGGACCAGAAAGATGGCTCCCACATGTTTCCAATTTCCATTTTTTTTTGTTCTAATCATTTTTGTATCATTATCATGAGGTTAAAATCATCATCATAAGTCTTAATTCATTTTATTGTAGTCCTGTCATTATGCAAAGTAGACATAATGGTGATTTCTTTTAGTAAATAAGTATGCTGAAAGGATTTGCTTTATTAATAGTTTACAGAGCTCTGTAGAGCAGCGAAATTTCTTCAGATACAGTAAACAGTGTTTCCATCGATACATTCTTCATGAGTCCTAGAAGCTTGTCGCATCAACTGAGGCCTCTCCGATCGCGGCTCCATACTTCTGAGTGAAGAGACGAGTTGATGAGTTATGTAGAGAAAACAGGAGGTTAAAATTATTTAGATAATAAGCTACATCTGATAAGTAATTTTCAAAATGCAGGTTAACGATGCACACAGATCGTCACAAATATATTTACCCGTGGGGATATGTTCTGAGAGAGAAGTTAAACACATGTTTATTCTATGCCAAGGCATTTTTGGAAGTCAGCAAAAATTCAGATGCAGGAAAACAAAAGAGACAGTAAAATATTTTGAAATTCTTTTTTAAACAAAGAATGCATTTAAGGCATGGTTTAGTATCATGTGTTCACGTGAATTTCTTCAACAAAAGGAAATCTATTGAAGATTCAAATTCTGTTACCTGCCAGAATGAATGACTTCCCATTACTACGTATATGATGTACATGAGGCAGGAAGCTCTCTTGGGGAGGGTGGTTGTGGTAGTTATGTTGACCAATTCGTACTTAAAAACTGGTCCAAATGACATTTTATTCTTGTTTGTTTAAAAATTGATATGATTAACCTACGTGTGTCAACAAGTTAAAATTTAGGATAAGTAGAAACTTCAAGTTTTGCCCTGTAGCTGTTCATGAATTTTAATAGCAAAAAGGTAGGATTGTCTTTCTTGGTTCACAGTAATTAAACTGTGTACTCTTAGGATTGATTTTGCAAGGTGAGGTCTCCAGCTTCTTGAACATTCTTACTGTGTGTCCTCTTTGGCAGGGGTGGAGGGATGAGAGAGCTTTCTAAGGCATTTGGACAGCAGGTGTTCCTCTGATCTTGCCCGGTCTTCTCCATTACTACAGATACAAATCAGAACCGGAAGCAAAAAAACAAAACAAAAAAAAGAACTGGAAGCAAGATTTCTTCTTTTGGTGCCTAACCATCACCTTAGCTCCACCCCTGCTCTAGTCTGGGGTTCCCACACAGGATTCCCATTGGGTACTATGCACCTTGGGTTTTAACTGGTATCATTGCTTATTAGTTTCTACTTCATGTGACTGATATTTTTTAAAAGTCTGCCCAAATGTAAACCCTGTTAAGTCATTCTCCATAGTTCCCTCTATTGTTCAAATTCCTTAGAATGACAGACAAATTCTTCAGGGGGTGTGAGGACCACCTGTAGCTTACTTTCAGCTCCTGCACATACATATCTCTTTCTCACAGGTATCTTAACATTTCATTCCAGAAAACTTGTCATTCTCCTGGCCTTAATGTTTTAGAATTTATTGTTCTGTTTGATGGGAATGCACACTCTCTGATCTTTCCACCGAATTCAAACTTCAAAAGTCAGATCAAACGTAAGCCCTGTATTAGTGTCCTATTGTTGCTATAACGAATTTCCTTAAGTTAGTTTCGTTAAACAAAGCAAACGTGTTATCTTACAATTATGAGAGCCAGAACTAGAAAATGGACTTAACGGAGCTAAAATCAAGGTGTCGACAGGACTATCTTCCTTCTGAAGGCCCCAGGAGACAAGCTGTTTCCTTTTCTTTCCCAGTTTCTAAAGGTCGCCTGCATTCCTTGGCTTGTGGAATGGATGGATTCCTTTCTCCGTCCTCAAAGCCCCCAGGATGACCTCTTCAAAGCTCTCCACCTAGCTCTGACCTCCCTGTTCCACTTAGAAGAACCTTTGGGATTACACTGGGCCCACGAGATAATCTTCCTCTCCTCATTCTTCATTAGCCTCTAGTTTTATAATTAAACACATTTAGAACTAGATCCTATGTCTACTGTACATGCAAAATAGGTCATTTGTAGGATCCACTGAAATAGAAATAATGACCAAGGATGCAATCGCTGTCATGAATTACAGAATTTATCGTTTATTTATGATAAAGCTTAACATTATTTTAAAACCTTCAGGGTAAAATCTCTCTGTTACTAAGGCCAGATTTCAAAAGAGAGAGAGAGAAAAAAAAAAAAGGATTCCAGGGCTTGCCATGATAAAATTGAGGAATCCTTTGAAGTGTTTCCATCTCTTAGGGAAATGAGAAGTACCTCTGGTCAGAGAATGAGTTCTGGAGCAGCTTCCCAACCGAGCGCTGACCTGCGAGGTGTCGGTATCCGGGTCCACAGCAGAGTGTTGGCTGCTCCCAGGCCCGGCCAACCTTCGCTCTTACCAAACATTAGAAGTGAATCCAGGCTTCTGGGCTGAGTTTCTCAAACATATTGTCTTTGTACCATGTTAATATAATAAAAAGGCTTTTTGTAGCATTTTCCTGCCATATCCTATTTAAAGTCCACAAAAACAAATATTAATTGCTATGTTTTAATCCAAATAGTCATTATAGAGCTAATGTTCTTAAGAATAGAAAACACATGTTTAAAAAGCATGTTTTTTTGTTTCTTTGGTTTTAATGAGAAACCACATTTGTGAATGTCTTTGGGACTTGCCCACAAATGACAGAGCTTGATTTGTGTTGTCTTTGCACAGATGGTGGGTATGTGTTGGGGGGATAGACTCACTGACTGTAAGCTACTGTTAGAGCTTACTTTTGCCTCTGGGTGTTATTTCACTTAAAAATGGGGTGTGGCCTTCCATAACAGAAATCCCAAGTGATAATGACTTTAATAAAAATCAGAGTTCATTTATTCTCTCAATCGTTTATGAATCCATTCATTCACCTGGTGATAATAAGAAACTGAGAGGTAGGCAACTCACAGCTGGCGCAGGGGCTTAGTGATATCCTGATGGCAGGTGATGGTGTTCCCTTGGACTTTCCCCAGTCATCCTGCCAGACAAAGAGGAAGGGAAAGCAAAGGACATGAGTTGGTTCTCTTCTAAAAAATCTCTTGATGTAAATATATACAGTTTCTTGGCAAGCCTATCCAGATTCTTCTCTTTATATCTTGTTGGTGAGACTATAATGGCTCCCTTAGCTCAAAGGAAGTGAGAAACGCTTGTGAATTGTTTCTGTTTTTTTTTTTTGGGGGGGGTGTTATTATGTGTTTAATTTTTTGTTTTTCATTTTGTAAAAGATTTTATTTATTTTTACTTGAGAGAGAGAGCATGAGCAGTGGGGGAGGGGGCAGGGAGGAGCAGAGAGAAAGGGAGAGCCAGGAGCAGGCTCCCCTCTGAGCAGGGAGCCCTACACGGGCCTGAATTCCAGGACCCTGAGATCACTACCGAAGCCAAAGGCAGACACCCAGCCTACTGAGCCACCCAGGCACCATCGTTTTACATTTTTTAATTAAATCTTTTTGTTTTTTAATTCCAGTTCATTAACCCAGCGTAATCCTAGTTTCAGTTGTATGATATAGTGATTCAGTACTTCCATACATCGCCCGGTGCAAGCACACCCCCTGATTCCCATCACCTATTATACTCAATGCTTACATTATTTACTTTCTTATTAATTTATAAATTAGTTCATAATTTTGTGGCTGGACACACTACCCCACAATGTCCACTGTCCACCGGAGAATGTCACAATCTCTCAAACTAGCCATCTGCAAAACTATTTTACTGTATAGTACTTTAACTTTGTATTGTGACTCCGAATCACATAAAATGCAAGTTAACATAACCCTAGGATGATTATTCCTCAAGATTTATTATAGAATTCCTGTGTAGGCTGGGTTTCTCCAATGATCTTTAATCGGTAACAAAGAAATTGGGAATGATGTTTTTCAGGAGAAAAGACCTTGACTATAGTTAATAAATTGGGGCCTCACTTTTATAATTAATTCTATGTTTGTTTAGAAGCTTTCAGAAGACTTTAGCGTCAAAGAGAAAAAGTTCCAGTACTTTTAAAGGTGATTCTAGGTGATTTTGAAGTCTTTTCTTCCTGTGCTCTCTTTTCCACATCAGGGGAAATGTTCCCCCCAAGTGGGCTAAGAGGGGACACTCTAGTTTACAGTTGACCAAGCCATGTCATGTTGTCTGTCCTCCTAGAGGAAGATCCCAGAGACTAAGAATTAGAAGACAGAGTATCTATTCTTCCTTTTGCTGAAACTTCTCTAACTCACCTTCTACTTTTGTAAATAAGAGTTGTAATATTTAGCTTCCCGACATCACAGAGTTGTTGTAAATATAAGGTAAGATACGTAAAAACACATCAAGAAATTTTAAAGTGCTACGTAAATTATAGGGAATTATTGACTTCTCAGAGTAGTTTATAAAATGCTTCTTAGAGATAAGAAGAGTACTTTGCGTTAACTTCTCCCACAAATGTTTTATTGTGAGAAACAGAAAGTAAAGGGGTAATTCTATCTCCTAGGCAATGTAAATTGCAGGGGGGAACGTAGTGCGTCACATGGATTATTTATACCTCGGTTACAATCACGTATCTTGAATATAATGATAGCCATTGGACAAGCTTTATCATCTAACTTACATTTTCCAAGTTTTAAAGGAATGTTAATAACCATCATAACAATAATTCTCAGTGAGGATTCAGTTAATCATTATAACGATTCTAGGGCCTAAGTGCTGTTATTATCCTCGGGTTACGCGAAAGGAAAATGAAACAGAGATGTTAAGAAACTTGCAGAAAGTCACAGAGCTAAAAAGTCACAAAGGCAGGATGATCTCTTAAACTTCCCACTCTGCAGCTTGAGCTACTTATCAGTGAAAGCTACACAGTTAAAAGCTTTCTTTCACATTACTGGAAGATAAGTTTATAATATCAATCATTGATTGAGGAAGCATATTGCACAAGCTCTGCATTTCTTTGCATTCCTGAATCTGCACTCACAAGGCTATGTTACTCAAATCTCTGGTCTGTTTTGCCGGCTAGGGATCTGGCTTAATTTAGTTCCCAAAGTGTTTTGGACATTACGGTCTCTACACTTCGGACACCACAAGGAACTGCTAAAATAGATGTGTAATGGCTAATAGGCTTTGAGGCTTAGGGAAACAATCTATACAATTCTGCTCTCTTCTCAAAAGCCTAATGTAGGATGCATATCGTTACCCAATGCCTGACCTTGTCAGATCCCCCATGTGTTCTGGGTCTCAGCTTCCATATCTGTAAAATAGAGATAATGGTACCCAACCCACAGGGTTGGCGGGGATTACATGAGATAAAAGCCACACAGTAAGGTTCCTAGTATATGGAAAGCTCTTAAAGAGTGGTGGCTGAATTCTAGCAAACTCCTCTGTGGAAATGGGGTGATTCCATGACCCATAGTGTTGTCAAATTGATTGACTTTGGATTTTTTTTTTCTTGTTAGCCAAGTGAGTAAAAATAGAGCTGCCAGAGCACAACAGGAGGATGCCTATAGGATTAAACTCTATTTCAAAAATAAATTCTAACAGAGCGAATATAACAGCCATTAACACTTTTCCAAAACATGTGATACAAAGTAACTTGATCAAATCCTTGTCAAGCATATGTTGTACATGAGGGTTTATGATTTGATTCGGAAAGGAATTCCCAATCTGAGAAAGAATATCAACTTGTCGCTCTCAACATTGACTACATCTGACCAGATATAGATAAGCTATTTTAAACACTCTGGAATATAGTCACGTAGCCAACTTTAGGCACCAGCTTAGTAGATCGAGTTAAGAGTAGAAAGAACTTGCAGCATTCTCAAAATGCAATAAACGAGCTTGCACTAGGTTACAGCTCTCCTCCTATGCGTAGTGCTGAGCTTTCTCTGCCCGGGGACTTTTCAGTTAAATCAGTTGAAGGAATCCAAAGATTGGGTCTCCGAACATTAACACACACACACACACACACACACACACACACACTCATGCATGCACATGCATACACACATTCAAACTGAAATGGCAGCTCTACACTCAGAAAGTAATTTTATATGCAAATATCTAGTGGGACTCTAGCTCTGCTTTTTCATTGTTCATCTAAATATAATTCTCATGATAAAAATGAGTTCTGATCCTGTATCTTATTAAGTGTAGGGGACAGATTAGGAGTCCGGGCAAAACTTAAAACCAAAAAAAAAAAAAAAAAAGCTCATCATCAAGACTTACCTATTTTGTCTTGTTTTGTTTAGAGCACCTTCTTCTTTCTCCCACAGGACTTGTCTCTAGGTATGTAAAGGTTCTGGACGCAGGTAGATCTAGGTGGTTTCTTAACCTCTTTGAGTTTTGTTTAGGAATCTGGAAGCTATGACTAATGACAGCTGCCTCTGAGGGTTCTGAGACTGATCTTACAAAATTACCTGGTACAGTGTTGGCATTCACGGAATAGTACTCATTATTATTCACTCTGTCACCTGGCTCGCCTGGATTTATAGCTTGGTCCTATTCATGTGATGCTGGATTTTACTGAAGGACACACACACACCCAGACACACATGCATATCCACAGAAATATACAGACCAGAAACATATATACAAATGCTAAGCAGTGGGCTTTATCAGACATCACAGAACCAATGTAAAAATATGACTAAAACATTTTTTTCTACCACTGAGCTAATTCACCCTTAGTAGAGGGGGCAGTGACTAAACAAATTAATTAATTTGCATGCAAGTAGTCCCACGAGTAGACTAATACATCATGCACATGAGCAATGATAAGCAGTGAAGCTGGGCATATGGTCAGAAAGGAGATAGAGGAGGAGGAGATGAGATACCAGAATCAGCCAACAAATGTCACATGAAAGATAAGAGAAGATAGAGGCAGCGCTGAGGTTTTTATCCTAGGTGCCTCAACATGGAAAACACTATGGAGCTTGCTCAAAAAACTAAAAACGGACTTACTGTATGATCCAGCAATTCTGCTTCTGAGTATGCAAAGAACACAAAAACACTAATTCAAAAAGATGTATGTTCCTTATGTTCATTGCAGCATTATTCATGCAGCCAAGCTGCGGAAATAAGTGAAGTACCCATCAGTGGGCGATACACATATACATTCATATATAATAAGGAATACTACTCAGCCATAAAAAAGAATTAAAACTTGCTATTTGGGACTATATAGATGGTATTATGCTAAGTGAAATAAGTCAGAGAGGAGAGAAAAGATAAATACTGTGTGATTTCACGTTTGCATGGAATTTAAAAAGCAAAACAAACAAAATAAAACAAACCAAAGTCAGATGGACTGAACAGATGAGTCATTGCCAGGAGGGCAGGTTGTGGGGCGTAGGCAAAACCGGAGAAGGTGGTCAACAGGTACAAGCTTCTGGTCATAAAATAGGTAAGTCGTGGGGAGGTAAGATGCAGCATGGCGGCTATGGTTGATAAGAGGGGAGTTACGACAGGGCATACTGGATCTCTTGTGGTGATCATTCTCTACTACACACAAATGTCGAGCCATTGTGTTGTACACCTGAAGCTAACATGATGTTATATGTCAATTATACCTCAATTAAAGAAAAATCACAGCACATTGGTTCCCTGGTGGTGCCAAATGAGTTTCGCAAGTGTTTGAAAGCCCAGAGAGACCGAAGTGGAGTAGGTGGGAGTAGATAAATCAGTGCATGTACAGCTTACACCCCCCAAAAGATCAGCAAATGAGGATTCAACACCACCAGTACGGGTCTGCTGGATAACTCAGCCAGATATAACAAACTATGAGAGAGGGATATATCACTATTCATTTCAAAATCCAGTCCTGGGATCCCTGGGTGGCGCAGTGGTTTAGCGCCTGCCTTTGGCCCAGGGCGCGATCCTGGAGACCCGGGATCGAATCCCATGTCAGGCTCCCGGTGCATGGAGCCTGCTTCTCCCTCTGCCTATGTCTCTGCCTCTCTCTCTGTGTGTGTGTGTGACTATCATAAATTAAAAAAAAATTAAAAAAAAATCAAAATCCGGTCCTACCTTCAAATTAGCCCTGAATCTACTTTTCATTCTATATGTGGACCAAATAAAAGATGGCCTAGCATCATTGTTTATATCATAAAGATTATCCTCATCTCAGAAGAGCATTAAATCTTCACAATTTATTGAAAGTCCAATTGCCATAGATTGATAGTGGTTTGCAAAATTTCTTAATCCTTATTGAGCTCACCAAAAAAGTGCTGAGTTCAATAATTACTACCAGGACCCCCACAGTTGTGAGATTGAGAAAGATAGCTCTTGTGTAGTTATATTCCCTCCTCCGAGCTCAGATATATATGTGTGGAGAGGCTCAGGCTGGATCAGAGGCAGCCTCAGGGTGGGCACCACATAATCATCCATCCCACTAAACGTTCCTATGCATCATTTTTGTACAAAATCTGTTAGCTCAAATATTTTCCTTCTTATTTCCACATGTCTTTTTGAGTGCTTGCTGTTATATTGCAATTGGCAGGTTTCTTTTATGAGTATCAAACAGAGCAGGGCAGTCTTCCACCCCTACCACGAGAGCAGAGATTTCCCAGAAAATTACAAAAGCTTCACAATCACCCTGAAAATTGGGTTGCATTATGAAGACTTGTCAATACCATGAACCAAAGGTGAGTAGTTCCTGGAATTGCTCAAACAGTAAATAAAAATATTAAAAAAAAAAACACCTAAAAGGAAGAGACAAGGAGCTTTTATCAAAACTCTATTACAAAACCCTAAAACACAAACACATTCAGTTCCAACCAAATGTCTTTTCGTGCTTAAGAAAGAAACGAGAAGAAAATGAGTTTCAATTTCTTTATAGCTTCTTCCGTAGAGGAATGTATAATACCCGGTCATCCCTACTGAGTACGCTGGCTTTCGTACAAACATGAAATCGAAACTCATAAAATGATTTTACTGTCTTACAATTAAACAATCCTATCACATACGTAACACTGTGGAGGGAAATCATGGAGTTGAATTCTCTCCCTTGACTCCCGCTAAAAACTGGCAAACTGTATACGACTTGCTTTACATTAGGGGGACCCTCTTAGCCTTCTGGCGTCATTTAATCATATCAATGTAGTCAACGCTCAAATGTCTGGTATTAATAATCAGTTTGTGAATTAGACACACTCTGATTTTCTTTTTCACTTCAGACTATCCTTGTCTCTTAGTTTTGGGTGTCGTTTTGTTTCTGTTTTTGCTTGTGACCCTGACTGTGCTTTGGTGTCTCCAGAAGTGGAGTAAATACAAACCGGACACAAAACAATCAGGCTTGGGTTTTTTGTTTTGTTTTGTTTTGGGTTCATTTGTTTGTTTGTTTTGGCTTCTCTATTAAGGCCTAGGAGAAAGCAGGCTCTAGAGAATCTTGAGGTTTCAATCAGTTTCAGTCGCTCAGGTTTTCCTGCCTGCCCTGTCTTCCTGGCCTCTGCAACTAACCCCACTGCCATCAATGAGAGTTGACTGAAGAACTGGCAAAGTGGTATCAGAAAGAATAGCGTTACCTGAAACATGGAGACTGGTCACCCTTAATTCTGTGTCACACTTTCTCATGTGTATTACCCACTTTGCTTTCAAAGTGAGGCACGCCAACACCAAATTCCAGGGGGTAACACAAGGGCAAATGGCAGAGCTGTGATTTGCACCCTATTGCAAAGCCAGTGCTCTTTCCTTGCCTCCAAGTTGATTCTTCGTGAAAGTGTACGACAGCGACAGTAGATGTCAACTCGGGTTTAACGATGTGTCTGGAGGTCTCTAGTTATATCAAATTTGATTTTGTGGATCTCCCAGGTCCTGAAGCCTTGATCTAGTCTCCAAATCAAAGTTTCTTGTTCCCCATGGTTATGATTGTGTTTTCACATATTATTTCAAATATATATTGGTAAGAACATACTAGAAAACCGTCTTTGATGGTGGACTTTTATTCTCCAAATAATATACTTGCCCTCACTGGGCTTAATCAGATAATATGCAGAAGAGTTTCTGGGAAATGAGTGTCTTCTGGCTTGAGTTTAAGAGATGAATTTGGGTCTCTCATTTTCTAGGTATTTTTCTTAAAGATTTATTTATTTCAGTAGGTCTCCTATTAATTTATAACTCACTAGTTTTGGCAACTGTAGTATATGAAACCCCCCCTCCCTCTCCCTGGAGTAAAGAGAAATGCCATTTTAATACAAAGACATGATGCTAAAAATTGGCTGATACTTAAAAAATCTGACTTTCTTTTATAATGACACTTCAACCTCATTTATTGTTTTAAAGTTAAAATTAAGACATTTTAGAGATGCCAATAATTTTAAGGCAAATGATTTTCAGAAACGAATTCTAGGATAAAGTCAACATAGTCTCATTTCCCCTCATTAAAAAAATGTTTATAGGTTGTAAAGTCAAAACATACAATTTTTATAAAAAGAGTTAAATAAAATATTGCAGTTTCCCAGAAAATAGCAGTTGAATAATGAAATAATTAGTCATTTAGCTATAGAGCTGCTTTTCTTTAAATCATAGAAACTAACATTTATGGTGTACTAACCTGTCATTCAACTCGTAATATTTAATCTTCACAGCTACACAAATGGGGAACAAATGGGAAAATTGAGACTGAGAAGGATGGACAAACTCTAAGTTCACGCAGCCCATAATCGATGGTACCAGTTCTTAACTCTACATCTTGGCACAGGTTCCACTCTCTCATATCCCTCTGACTCTTTCTCTCTCCTCAAGATAAGGAAATTAGGACCAGGGGCCAAGAAAGAAAAATCTCGTGAAATAAAATGGTTCAATGTGGTGCATTTCTCTCAGAATTGGGCATAGAATTCAGTTAAAAAAAAATCTCATCTTCAAAAACACTTACCACTTGGAAATATTTGTATAAAGTGTACTTGCGACTGATAAAATGAAAGCAGTTGCCAAATCAGTGTTTAATGCATACATATCATTGGAAAACATAGGAATTACCATCTTAGGAAGGAGGTCTGAATTCCAACTAGATCTGAAGGGAGGAAGGAAGCACCAAGTTTGTGCTGTGTTTCTCACTCCAAGGATCCTGCCTTGATTAATGTGCCTGTGTTGAACTGAGGAGTAAGTACTTGAAAGTGTATTCACTGAGTTTGTTTTCAAGTGTGAGATTCATGAAATTCAAATATATTTATGAGCCGATAAACACATCTATGTCTACCAAGGATCATTCAAATGAAGAATAATTCCTGTAACCCTGGTTTTAACCCCCATCCACTGCTTCGGGACTTTGGCTTGCCTTTATATTGTTGTTTGGTCTGGCCAAAGTGTTCCTAGGGTGAGTCGTGTGTGCCCAGCACTACCTACTACCTATCCTC